TCGTTTATTATAGGGGTGAAATAGTCCGGGTCATAAGACGAATCTGAGCCCCAAGATCGCGTCATGATATCATCGTCGATGGGATAACGCGGGTCGGGATATCGTCACCACGCACGGGCACGTGTAGGACAGGCAGACTCAGTAGCGCCTCAGCGTGCTCGTACGTGCTGATGGTTCCGCCGTGATTCCTTTGAGCGAATCGTCGCACGGGAATGTGTGTAAAGGCGCGACTCGGATCGCGTTTACACGTGTTCTCGCGCGGCGTTCGCGGGACCAGACTTCGGATCGCCGATTATGCAAGATGCAATCATATCGCAACCCCCATTGCGGGATGAGCAAAAACGAGAGCAAAATCACTATCGGGGCCAGATTATTATCCCATCTACAGCGACATCAGGTGTAGGCAAAGATTTTGACACATACATAACGCAAGGACAGGGATTCTCAGCAAAAAGATAGACAAGCAGTCATAATATCCGTACATCCATACATTGGACAATCATACACATAATGCAAGTAGGTCGGACATCGCAAGGACAAATGTGAGAAAAAAACCAGGCCCAGGTTCCAGAAAGCCGAAATGAAAATAAGAACGGGCAAACCACCCGGAGCCGCAATCAAAATGTATGTACACAGATGAAGGGGGGGGAAGAGACAAAGAAACAGCAAATCCACGTCCATCGACCTCAACTCTCTCTTCCTCTCTCTCTCTCTCTCCGATGCGGACAGTCCGTCGTCACGCACCCACCCACGAAGTTGTCACCCCGCTTAGTCCTCCCGCACCCGTCGGATTCGCCCGTGCCCACAGTCCACGAAGTTGTCACCCCGCTTAGTCCTCCCGCACCCGTCGGATTCGCCCGTGCCCACAGTCCGTCGTGGCCCACGTCAATCCCGCGGGTTCGGCACCAGCCCGTCGGGTCGCCCAACTCCTACTCTACTCACCTCTTACTTCGCTCGTGTGCCGACCCTTCCTGATCGCGTAACCCCGAGCTTCCAACAACAGGTTAAGAGAGCTGACTAATCGCGCAACCGAAATTTATAGTGTGCATGCATGCGAGAAGGACACGGAATTACCAGAACTTAGAGCGGGGATTAGAGAGGGAGCGCCGACGTTCTGCATGATCGGCCGTGGCGTGGGGGACCCAACCCCTCTCCACGCATCGATCCGAGCATGCAAGCCGCGGCCGAGAACATTCATACAAAAAGGACATGTTAATGTTCTGCTCATCCCGGAATTCCCGGCTGTCGGGCCCAATTCCCAGTGCGCTCGCTAAGGCGTACTTAAATTCTCATGTATTTCCCAAATTATAAAAAGAAAAAAAAAGCAGAATCCGAGATTTGCAAAAAGCTTCCGAAAGATGGGGGCCCAAAACGCGGCGCTCTGAATCAAGAAAACAAAGCGGGGTTTTTATGGGGTTGGTATGGTACAGGGGAAATTCAGACAGGAAGGGTACGAAAGATAGCATGGGTTCGGGAAGTAGATCGTCACATAACGGTGGGGATTAGGTGGCCTGCAAGAGGTACGAGTGAGATCAAAAGCAACAAGGGACAGAAGGAGACCGCTAGTGTTCACAGTGGTAGCAGGTGGCACCCCGATACAGGAGCTCAGATTGGATTCAAAGATGTGGGGATGGAAGGTGGGTCAGGAGGAAGTTAAGGACTTGTGCAACCTTAGCTCAGCACTGGTAATGAGAAAGAGGAGCAGGAAGGGTTACCCGAGGGACAGAGTGGCTCTCCGATGGGAGAAAGAACAGCCCTTCCTGCCAGTCCCAACGGAGGATCAGCTTACTCGGCTATGGCAGCAACTAATGGAAATTCCATCTCAGAAATTAGGTTCGCTGCTATGGCTGCAATCTCACCTAGCAGTCCCAACGGCCAAATGACTCAGCAACAGAGGAATGCAGGTGAGGTTGGAATGTGATAGGTGCGCCTGGCCAGTTGAGACCATGACGCACATGTGGTGGGACTGCCCACGTTCAAGGAAGTGGTGGAACTGGTGGTTTCCACACTGGGAGAAGATGATGAGGAAAAAAGTGGAACAGGGTATGGCCTGGGTGTTGCAAGGTTTCATTGACCAAGGGGAAGAAGTACGGAAGGGGTGGGGATACATGGGACAGGTCAGTCGAGCAGTCGTGATGTGGGTCATCTGGCTAGATAGGAATGGTCGACGCTTCAAGAGTCAGGAAATGGGGGAGTCGCAGGCAGAGAAGTTGTTCAAATCTCTGCTGAAGATGGAGATCAGGGCGGACTGGAGAAGRAGAGTACTCCAGGGGAACAGACAGGCAGGGAAGAGATGGTTCTACGAAACTTGGGCTAGACCGGGGGCCCTGGCTGAGATAAAAGAAGAAAAACTGCTCACTTCCYYCTGGCTAGACAGGTAGACCTAGAGGGGAGTAGATGGGTAGGGTGGAGTGAGTGAGGGAGGGGGGGATAGAGGTTGGTAGGAGCTGGRCGTCCTTTTCTGGTTTGTGAGGTTTTACGGGCGTGCTGCGTTTGTTTTTTATTTTTTACCAGGTCCACTCGGTTCAGCTGGTGGCCAYAGTAGGCCACGGTGGGAGGGTTGGCAGGAGAGAGTGGCGGTTAGAATAAGGAGTAATGGTCCACCTTGGGCGTTATAGCCTAGGGTCAGACCGACTTAGGTCTCCTTAGGAGGATAGAAGTAGGGAGGGAGTAGAATAACTAGATATTAGTCCAGGCAGTGCCGTATAGTTGTAGTTGTTCGTGACAACAGAGTTAAGGTTAAGAGAAGAGAGAAAGAAGCTAAGTCGGCTGATGCTGCCGGGATAACTTCCGGGTGGAATTGTGAGGTCCCCGGCCTCAAACATGGATTGCTATTGTGAATGGAATGTGAAGTTTGTTTGAAAAAAAAAAAAAAAAAAAAAAAAAAGATGAAAGGGTTGAAGGATTTGGACCTGGCGCTGTGTAACCACGCGAGGCACCATTTTGGCAATCGCCAGAAAGTCCGGCTCGTGTCTCTTGCGATTTGCTGCCGCTATGTGACCGGGCGGGGTGGCATTTCAGCAAAATCGGGATTGCAACACTCGCAGATTTTGCTGCTATGCCACCGCTGGGTGAGTATGCCCTGAGTTGTCCACGTACCATATCCTGTTCTTCCTTAAGTGAGTCGGGTTGAGTGTGCGTACCATTTCCTGTTCTTCCTTAGGTGAGTCGGGTTGAGTGTTCGTGTTCGTCTGAATATGGAGTGGTTGGCGCATTCATGGCATATCCTCGCTTGCTGTTCGGTTCAGTGGTGCAACTGTTTCTTCCCCTCTATCGCGCGCCGTGTTCGAGCCCGACTTGTTGGGGGGTTCCTGATCCTTATTATGGCGAGTATGGACGGCAGCAACCGCGCTAGCGCASGGGCAAGRTCTGCCCCTCAGCAGTTTACCTGGGATTCCTATATTTCGAAGGGGGAAAGCCGATCTCTCTCTAGCGCCCTTCAGGAGAGGCGTGTTATGGCCGAGGCGTCYCAAGCAGCACTGTCATCCACATCAGCGTCGTCTCCACCAGCGCCTCCATTGTCATCAGGATCGCAGCAGATAGGGCCTCCCGCAGCGCCTTCATTTGCAGCAGCTCCGCAGTCCATGGCGTCTCCGGCAGCGCCTTCGATGCCATCAGCGTTGCAGTCGGACAAGAGGATGACGCTGCTGCACCCTGTTTTATTTGTATCAGCCAATAGGAGCACATCACCCATATTGTTGTATACTGCATCTTCTTCCTTCATGTCCACGGCCGAGAGTTTGTCTTGCAACGCGGTGATTACGGACTTGGTATTTCAGCCAAACGGCAGCGAGTTTTACTTCATTCTGGACGAGAGATGCGAGCAGAATGAAACGACTCAGCAGAGGCGAATGTCGTTTCGGAAAGCAGATCTTGCGCGTATCCGYGAAGGATTTGTCAATATGGATGACCATTCGTTGCTAAGTTACTGGTGGCCTTACGGYGCAGAGAGCGGTTCCGTGCAATCGTGGGRCTCGATAATCAAGAGGGGTACAAACGACAATATAACGATGGCTATTGTTCATAATCTCGCYGTCACGACTGTGGGAGACTATCTTATCATGGCGGCGAATGGTGACGATCGCACCACATCAAGCATCTTGTCGATGTCGACAACTGATGGTCATCGAAAATCRGTTTCCGTGCCGGCGAACTTCTTGCGAGGACTTGCCTTCAATCCGAGGCGCACACGCGTGTATGTGTCTGATACTATGTATCCTGTTCGAATCCTGTCATCACCAGTAAATGATTCTGGCATGCCCATCGACGGCGCACAGTGGGAACTAGTCAAGAAATTTGCGATCGGCGATGACATTGACATGAAGGGCATTTCTTTCGGCGCGAACAACTTTCTGCCGGACGAGAGCTGTCTTTACTTCCTGGAACGTACCAACAACCGTGTTTGGGGTATCGATCCACTCTCCGATTCGCCATCGGTCACACTTGTCGCGGGATCTCCAGAGGATGCGCCGACTAACAGAAGTGACTCTAGTATCTCCTTTTCTAGCCTGAGCGATATAGTCGCGACGCCGGATGGTTGCAACATCTTTGTAACCGAGTTCGACACCGGTGTCCTTCGCTGGCTGCAATTGGACTCTTCCTGCAGCGCAGCCAGCACTGTGAGCATAGTTGCGCAGCATTCAACTAATTATGGATTAGCTGGATTGGCGCTCCACCAATCCGGGGAGGAGTTGAGTCTGTACGTTGGAGCKAGCGACGGTTCCGTGTTTGAGCTCAATATCGACAGCTCCAAGCTGCACACGTGCGCCCCTCCTTCCGCCAGTTCTCATAGTCTCCCCTCTCCTCTCTCCAGCACTGGTCCTGGTTTGTCCTCTCCTCATCCGCTAGATTCGTCTATCTTTTCTCCTGTTCCCTCTTCCGAGTCTTTGCCGCCTTATCCGGGACGTCCCTTCCGCTCTTYCTCGATCAATCGTCGGTTGGCTCTCGTCATCGCCCTTCCCCTTTCAGCTTTAGCACTCCTTGGTGTTGGGGCATGCCTCTATTACTGGGCTCGTCACCAGCGCGGCGGWCATCCGAGGTGCACGTTGAGAAGTACCGGAAGTGCTAACGAGACAGGRCCGGCSGAGCGCAGATCGGAAATGCRCCCACCGCATGAGGGAGTAGATCTTCACCCGACCCAGGTGAAACAGTTTTCGCTCGCAGCTCTGTGTCATTGCACTGACAATTTTAGCCAGAGTCACCGTATCGGCATAAGTGGAGCGTTCGGTGACGTGTATTGGGGCTCGATCGACGATAAGGAGCTGGCCATCAAGGTGATGACAGGCGATCTGACGGAGGGGAAGAGAAGCATGTTCCTGAAGGAATTGAACACGCTGAGCAGACTCCACCATGCTAACCTGATCGAACTCGTCGGGTACTCCGACGAGGGAAGTCTCTCCATTTTGGTGTACCCCTATTTTCCGGGGGGCAGCCTGGATGCACGCCTGCACGAGAGAGAGAAAGCGGTTCCTGGGAAACCTAGCCTCCCTCCTCTGACTCTGGTGGAACGCATGTGCATCGCCTGGCAAATCGCCAAGGGATTGAGCTACCTGCACGACGGTGCCAACCCTCCTATCATCCATCGGGACATTAAGAGCAGCAACGTGCTTCTGGGCGGCGGTTCTGGGGTGAATCTGCATGTCGTCGTCGCGGATTTGGGCATAGCGACTATCGGAGAGAGAGTGCTGGGCGCTGAGCACGAGACGCTGGTGAAGACCTCACACATGGCGGGGACTTTCGGGTACATGGCGCCGGAGTACGTGCGGAATGGAGTCCTGTCGGAGAAGAACGACGTGTACGCTTTCGGCGTGATTGTTTTGGAGCTGCTCACGGGTAGGAAGGCAGTCACGCAAGCACCGTCTCAGTCCAGGTGGCAAACCCTTGTGGATTGGGTCAAGCCGTTCCTTGGACGCGGGTCGGCGGGCGCAAATCTCCCGTACGAGATCCTGGATCCTTGCTTGCGGGATCAGGCGGCGGTATTGACGGGCAACCACATGGTGATGGAGGCGCTCCAGTTGGCGAGCAAGTGCTTGATGGTGGAGCCTGGTGCCAGGCCAACAATGAGTGGGTTAGCGGGAAGAATAGGTGAGATGTTGGTCGAAGCGAAGATCAACATACGCAGGAGATGATGATCCTTGAAGATTTCTATGGAAAGGCGACGAGTTGTAGAAAGTCAAAGGAGGCAGAGCGGCGGGGTATAGTGAACATCGTTCGCTTTATCGACCGCGCGAGGAGCTGAGGGTGTTGCTGACCGAGCCAGACTYGCTATGGTACCACAGGAAGATACGTGGCATAAACTGTGAAATGCCGGTAGTCATTGTCGAAAGTAGAGACGGTGGATGGTCAGAAAGAAAGATTATTCAGTTCAGAAAAGCGGGAACAGGAGACGATCGACAGGGCGCCGCTGAAAGACCACCCACAGCGATATGGTCGATGCGCGGTAGCGGAGAGGTGAGATGATCACTTTATTTTTCCCCCTTTTTGTTTTTAAACATCCACGGGCCGGCCCTCCTTCCAGAGTTGATAAGACGATGGTGACCTAATGAAAGAGGCAGGCGAGATGGAGATGTGTCAATTGCATCGATTCAAACCTAAGGTGACGGTGAATGCGTATTACCCTATGTTCAGGATAGAGCAGTTAATTTGATTGAAAGACGCAGGGGCTGTAGAAAGGACAGTTGGCGAATATAATATTAGAACTCGAAATTTGTGAATTCGTTTAGTATTTATTCATGCTTTAGCAAAGGTTTTGACAGATCTTTCAGAATCAGGATTGCCAGCGGGGGAATTAAGATGAGGAAGGACGGATGGTGAAGGCCTACTGCTTGGATTGGACAGCAGAGAGTAATAATTTTTTATTTTTATTTTTTTAAGGCTAATTCTTTAAGCCCAACCTCACCTGTCAAATCTGGACAGGACGGCCTTTCAGGCCTTTTTTTATTGTCATTATAGTATTACGGGGAACCCCGTAGCA